GTCTGTCTGCCTGTTCACTCCCCACCATGCCGGCATGGCCTGGAGAAAAGATCCAAAGTATGCTTACTACACGTAACCTTGCAAGTGAAGCTTGCCACTCTGTTTGAAGCAATCCTGTCTTCACCTTTTTCAGCATGCTTTCAGAGTCCGTTAAACTTTCAACATATGTATGTATCTTGTTCTCTAGCCACCGGCAAGCTGCAGTGACACCTCCACTCTCATGCTAGATGTCGTGGTATCATATGCCAGGCTGTACTGCACTTAAGATTTTCCACTGGCTTTCGCTAAGAAACCCCAGGCACTTCTCTTCCCTCTCAATACAGAACCATCTGTATAGATAATCAGATCATCTTGGCGAGATTTTTTGTGAATCAACTGTTACACTTCCACTTGGCCACTCTGCACTCCCGGCCTAATGTGATCATGACCCTACATAGGTCAGACTTTTTCTCTGGTAAAAAATCCCCAGAATGCACAAGCAGTAAATGTATTAGGCCGCCATCAGAGGTGCCTAGTGAATAATACATCTAATTTCCAAGTGGATGACATATGGCCCAGAAATGTAAATGTTTATAACCTGGAATCTTGTTGTCTTGGCCTCAGCTGACACCCACCAGTGATACTGGTAACTTCCCTTGTAGTTCACATGAGCAGATGCTCACAAGTTTGCACACAAGTCAACAATAAACAATTGTAACTATTCATAAAAATGAGCTTTCTTGACGAACAGCTAGCATATTTACTGTTCTATACGACATCTATGCATTTCCTGCTAACTTCATCCAACTTGTGGGGGGGGGGGGGGGGGGGGGGGGGGGGAGAGATTTCACTGATTTTTGTATTTAGATTTATACTTAAATTAACAGATTTACATGCAGAATTGTGTAAATATCAGGAAAATAAAACTTAAGAAACAGGAGCACAATGGTGTAAACTTAGGGAAAATACAGTAAAGAGAAATAACATGCAGAACTGCGGAGGAAAAAAAACAATAAACACAAATTCTGAGTAGAACGGATAAACGTAAGGAAACAACAGCAGTAGCAACATTTCAAGGTTACTGCCAGGGTGTTATAAGCCAGAGTCAACAACAACAAAACTAATTTAAACCTGTGAGGAAGCAATGAAGCTGCTGCTTTTTCTAAACATGCAACAATTGCAACTTTAGTTTATACTTTCATTTTTTTATTTTGAATTCATTAATTTTACTTTATAATATTTTACAGTTCTGATTTTCACCCAAAATTTTAGATATGAATTTTATGTCAATAATGTGAAATATTAATTCCCATCTCACAAAACAAATGTGTGGGCGCTGAGTGGTGTTATACATCTCTCCAGGTAGTAATGCAGAAGAGATGCAAATATTATACATTAGTAAAAACATGACAATATTTGTTTCAGCATTTAAATCAATACTGAGTCTATGAAGCACGGCAAGGACAATTAGGAACGATACATCAAACAATGCAAAATTAATGAAGTAAACAAACAAAAAACATGACGACTGCTAGAACTGAAGGGATTTCTGAAGAGAACAATTTTATATAATGCATCATTTTTTTTTTAAAGTATTAGTGGAGACCAAACTAAATAGAGTAAAACATGATTATACATATGTGAATACAGCAAATGGTAGAGATGTTCCGGAGAGGAAGAATACCCTACAGGGTGGACAAGGATACATGACAATTACTGACTAGTTGATCAAAAAATATGTTACAATAGCACTACTGAAGATTTTCGTCTGTTAAATATAGTGTTTATACTGTTTGTAGGCATGATTACTAGCAAGCAATTTATGGGTGTGATTACTAGCAAGCAATTTATGAGTATGTTTACCATCAAGCAATTTATGGATATGATTACTGGCAAGCGAACTTTATCGTTGAAGCTCATTTAAAAACTTCACTGTCCAATTTATTTAACAAAATACTGATATTTTTTATGATCTGAATAAATATCGAGGGGGACTTAATCTAAGCGCCCTTAAAATAATTGGTGTGTCGTGTTATGGTCTATGGCTAGGCTGCAATATCTGCACCTTTTGACCCAATACATCCAATCTGAATAAAAATTGAACTATATGAAGAAGGGGTATCCCATTTATACCCCTTGTCTAAGAGCAGTGGGTCTAATTTTCCTTTCTTCTAAAACGGGGAATCTAGATCCTGCATGGGAAACTTGTATCCCATAATTCCTACAATAATCCACCTACCCGTCTTTAGTAATATCTACTGTCATCCTGTAAACAGAAATTTAATTGTAAATGATGCGTCAGTGATGTGTAGTGACACCAAGCCTCAGGGCTTAAAGCCTGCTATTTAATGGTACTGTTGGTGTCTGGTAAAAAGTACAGGTGGAATATTTTTACAAAAACCTTTTAGAAATAGCTTACGCCAGTGTTTCCCAAACTTTTCTTAGTCACAGCACCTTTTTTTTTTCAACTAAAATGTTTCCACGTCGCCCTATTCTATGTAAAAGTATGACTATTTGTATTCAAGAGATCAAAACAAATAAAACTTGTGTATTTTGGAATATTTCGCGGCGCCCCTGTGAAGAGGTTGCGGCTTCTGGGGACGCCGTAGTGCACAGTTTAGGAATCACTGGCTTAAGCCTTAAACAGCTGAACAGGTATGTTACTGGGACTCACAAAAGAAAAGATAAATTTTTAAAAATTACTTTTGCATTCTTTCTTAAATGAGCAGTTGGCACGAGGTATAGTGGTTTACAGCTAGGCTGCGATATCTGCACACTGTGGGGAGTGGGAGCAGAATCACTCTGGGTAGATGAGATAGTGATATTTAGGGTACAAACCAGCTTCACAGCAATAATGGCAGAAACATCAAGCCAGATAATGGTTTCACTAGTTAATAAGGTTGGAGGTTGTCATACTGCCCTTGATAAAGTCATGCTTTCTTTAAATGTGCCTTAGATCTTAGGACAGAAAGGTAATTCCTATTTCTTTATTTATCATGACATCAAGGCAATATCTATTTCTGTATTCATCAAGAGAGAAAGGTGATGGCTATTTTTTTATCGCGGTAGGTGATCATTATTTTTGTATTTATCATGACAGAAAGGTGATATCTATTTCTATATTCATCACGAGAGAAAGGTGATCTCTATTTCTGTATTTATCAAAAAAGAAAGGTGACAACTATTTCTATATTTATTATGGGAGAAAGGTGAAACCTATTTATTTATTTTCACTAGGATAAAAAATTAATGTCTGTGCCTCTCCACTTCTGCCCTTGGGAGCATTACGTGGTGGGGCCCTAATCTCTTCCACTCCATGACACTTATACCATTTTCCGAAAACCACAAATAATATTTTTTTTTTAACCGTTTACTATGAGGAACAAACTCTAGTACTTGAGGATCATGAAACTGTTAACCGCATTCGCTAACTCTACGCCACAGGGCCACACTAATAAGATATAGTGTTACTGAAGTCAAATAGGAACAGTGATTGATGATACTTTTAGATGGCTGCTGTATCAGAGGGATCAGCATGCACCGAGATGCTGAAGTGCCCTGAAATCAACTGTGACAACACAACATTTTCAATACAACATAATATTTACCTGTAACTATCTGGCTGTTTGGTACGGAGGTGGACTCGTGGGAATAAAATGTCATGAACCGTGTTGTGTGGAGGGGGCCACATCAAGAAGGGAATAAGAATGAAGGAAGAAATTACTGCAGAAAGGATGAGAGCTGAGCGTCTGAGAAGAAACCCACTAGATACAAATCTTGACAATGGTCCTGAAATCCCATGCTATCACTGTGAAAAACTTTTCTTTTTGCGGGTGGGTCTTGCTAGTCACACTTGCCATCGCCGCGGGCTGCGAGTCCCATGCCTCCTCATAACACAATATAGCGCTATCATCTGGAAAAGTGCTAATATAATATATCTGGCTGTTTAATAATATCTGGCTGTTTAATTACATATGGCTTTAATTTTCTCACAGTTTACTTTGACTCTGTGATACACTAAAATAAAAAGGTTAACGTCTCCTGAAATTATTTTGGTTAACTAAAAAAGTTACCATGCCTTAAATTATTCCTGGTCTGTTTTAGGAACAGCAGAAATGTATGTACATTATCAGACAATTTCCAAAAATGGTGACTGCAGTAAGCTGATATAAGGAAATGAACTTACTTAACATAAACAATGATTCTCTTATTTGGTGTTGGGGTTCAGGATTCAGCTTCTCACATTTTGTTGATAAAGAATGGTCAAAATTCAGAATGCTCAGTTTTTTTTCTGTGCCTGCCTCACCACCAGCCACGCCCTCCCCCACCCCTTCCCAACCCCCACCCCCACTTTTGGGGAACATCCCAGTCAAAATCTGTCTTGTTTAGTCAATTCACTTCCATTCGTTGTGAAGACTCATAGGAAGTATTCTAAACATGCATCTCCTCCAATCTCTGATCTTTGTTAGTGACGTAAAGCAAATGAATGACCTTTTTGTACATCACTGGCAAATGAGACATCTGATGCTACTTACATTTTTGTAGGCCAGTAAGCACTCTGCGGAGGACATGATCAAGATCTGGCTGGCTCCCTTTTTACTTCCTAGGACATTACCCTGGTACCCATAATAAGCTGGGTCACTTGGGAGCCAAGTTCAATTTTGGCTGGCAGGCAAGCATCTAGCCGCTACATCACCACAGCTCCCCTAAACTGTGTGTTTACTGCTTACACATATGTTTCTTCAGGACATAATGTGGCTCTCTCCCCCTTACCTTTCACCTCACATACATAAAAGAAAAGGAGCCACAAAAAAAAAGGATCGTCACACACATTTCTGTCACCAGAACACGTCCAAAAAACAGCATCCATGGATTAGTTATAGATATATGGCAGTAAACCGAGTGATCTCAATAACCATGACATCAAACTAATCAATAACTTAATATCTCACATGAGATTTCATTAGATATAATATCACAATTATGAACATATGTCGTGTGTACGAGTCGTATGTTTTTGGCTACAAGTAGTGAGGCACATCCTGGCCAGTCAGAAGCCGAAATATTGATGTTGGCATGGTCTTCATGTGGATCTGGGAGAAGATGCAAGCAACGAATACCATTAGTTACAAAGAATGCTCAAGAAATAAATTATTAGCTTTTGATCAGTCTTATTCTTCTTCTTTAAGCTCTCCTAGCAGTGATTTTCAGATCAGAAGGCCCCCATGTCTGTATTAAGCTTGTAGAGCAAGGCATGTCCTCCAATGATCCATACAGTTTGATCTCCACTGCAATATCAATTGGTCAGACCTGTGATTATTCTACCACATCTAGAGAGTCTGTCTGAGGAACACATTCAGTACTGTGGTCTGCCTGTCTGCGGAACACATTCAGTACTGTGGGGTGCCTGTCTGCGGAACACATTCAGTACTGTGGGGTGCCTGACTGCGGAACACATTCAGTACTGTGGGGTGCCTGTCTGCAGAACACATTCAGTACTGTGGGGGTGCCTGTCTGCGGAACACATTCAGTAATGTGGAGTGCCTGTCTGAGGAACACATTCAGTACTGTGGTCTGCCTGTCCACATAGATGAAGTTCTGAGACACCATTCTTGAGTTTCCTGTACATAGTTAATCGACAGATTATCCTCACTGTACATCGGACACGTTCATAAGCGCTCGGATCCCATCTTCAGTATATCCCTCAGCACATGGTGACTGATAACATCAATTCTATACTGGTTTAATATATCTCTTTGGCCACCTGTATAGTGTTCATGTTTACCAACGCCTCTTACTACCTATAGTAGTCTTGCAGTCTTTTGAATGTTGCCAACTCACTGTCATCACCTGAATAACCTATTCATCCTGCTTTCTTGAAAGCAATTAGATTATTGACCCGGTCCATTGCTTTTCCTGTTAAAAATGTGGCCCCGCCAGCAAGCCAATCTGCTCATTCATTTCCTCTTACTTCAGAGTGCCCCGTCACAATTATGAAATGTATTCCTGTCAGACTAGATTTCCTCATCGACTCCAAACATTTTCCTCAAATCCATCCTGACAAGTCTCCAGCTCGTAATATTAACTGCTGTTTCTTTTGTGTAAGAATGTGGTAACTCTTTAGAACTGTGTCCTGGATGGGAAGTGTTCTAATAGCTGCTGAATCTGTGAAATAGACTGCATGAAAGATGTGTAAAAGCAAGGCGATCCTTTTCACTACACCAGATTTAATCCAAATTGGCCCTTTTGGCATAGTAGTAGGTGGCTTGCTGAGAGTCCCACAAAGTAAAAAATTACATAGATCCTCCTCGTGTAGATTGCGGGGCCCCATTTGTGTGTGGGGGGGGGGGGGGGGGAGACCCATGTGGTTTTACAGAAGAATTCTTAGAATTCCTTAGAGTCAAACAGAGCAGCTAGGTGTTTTGAAAGATGATACATCTCAAAGACAATTTACCACAAACATAAGAAAGAGACAATCAATTTATGTCATGCTATGAGAAAAAAGAAACTGGAACACGTTGTGACCACCGGAAAGATCAATGAAAAATAGAGAAAGAAGAAGACAATGGGAGACGATTCTTGACAGCTTTTTTTCATGGCATGAAGGGTTGTCAGCACACAAACTGATACATGCTGCTGAAGATTGTGCACATTGTGGAGAGGTATGGTTGCCCGTCCCAGTTAACAGGGGACTTGATGATGACTGTCAGAACACCCCCAACTAAAAAAACCAGTATATCAAATTGACAATGTATATAAAAAGTATCTATCACTCCACACCTCTAAAGCAGTATCCAAATCCAGCCCAGGGCAGATGATTTATAACTGATTTTGGTTTCCATGTCAACCAGGCCTAAAACTGATACCAGAAATGTTCTTGGAGTAATGGTGGCTGGCGTGAGCTGATCACGTGACCCACTCTAGTGCCCAATGGTTTATATCTTCTTCTTTGCGTTCGGTTTTGTATGCTCAGATGAGACCATTAGGTGGGTTGCCTCTATGAACTCACATGACAGCAGCAGGCCCTTCATGGATCCCCATAGCTTGCTCTGCACACTTTGCTCTTAAGGTTTCTTTTCAAAGTTGTAGATGCAGTGGGCAGGTCTGCAGAATGTGTTCAGGTGTTTGTGGTCCTGTTTAACAGCACACTGTGGGGGCTGTGCAATCTTTATTTTATGCATGTTGTAGTTGAGCCTGCAGTGCCCTGTTCGTAGACAGAAAATTGCTGTATGTCACTTTCTGCTGAGTCTGCCAAAAGGGTCTGGTGGATGTTTACTGTTAGTTTGTTAGTGTTGCCTTGATAAATGTTCTGATTTCTGGTAATGACAATGAATGGGTGTGTTGTTTCTCCATTGTTCCATTTTTTGCAAGTCTGTCTGCTAACTAATTTCCTGGTATACCACAATGATGCGGGATCCACTGGAGAACAATTTGATTGTTTTCTGCGAGTCTGTTTAGCTGGTGGGTCAGTTCTCTCTCCATGTTGTCACAAGGATCCCTATGAGTCGCCTGGAGGACTGACATACAGTCACAAAGGATAAAAAATTTTGCTCGTTTTTAATTTTTTCTTTCCTCAAGCACTTTGGCTGAATCAATAATTGCTTTCTGCTCTGCTCTGAAGTTTGTTTAAATTCTTCTGGAGGCGCATGACGTTTCTACTGTGGTCCTATCTTGCAGCATGATGACCGAACCAGCTCCTCCATTTTTTCTGCTTCCTCTAACAATCCATCGATGTATACGTGTGTCGGGTTTTAGATACACGTTTTAGAAGCACCTTTTCTTCCCCCCGAAGGCTCGAACCCTGGAGGCCAGAAGCTGCTTCCAGCTTAATGACTGGTGCGCTTCTCATACCTATAGTAATAATTCTGAGACCAGTGTTCTGCATTTTATCCAGTTGGTGTAGGTTTGATTTACTTGCAGTGGAGTATGCTCTCATGCCGTACTCCAGTTTTAGTTGTACGTATCCTGTGTATACTTGTCGTACAGTGTTGGCATCTGCACCCCAGCTTGTTCCAGTAAGTTTCTTCATAAGTCTTGTTTATATAACAAACAAAACTGAACCTAATGATAGCTTATTTTTAAAAAAAGGGTCTAGTCCCATAGGCCTTATCTGCCACAAGGAAGAAAAGGACCCTTTACTACTTGTTACTACCTGCACAGGATGTTCCTGACAAAATAATCAAACCCAGTGAGCTAACACAACAGAAGTGAATCCTACCTCCCCTACAGAACTGGCCAGCAATGTAACAATCTTTTCATGAGGGACTGCTACTACACTCTGGTTGTTGATTTCGATGATCCTGTGCCCAACACGCACTCCACCTCGTTCAGCGATTCCACCTCGGAGTAAACTGCAAATCTGTCAACAGGAAATCACAACTATTATTTTATTATATCTACTAAGACTGTAAGGTGAAAAGTCAAAAGGGGTGGCATGTTAGTTTGAGCAATCTAACAGCTAGCAGAAAGTCAGTATTTTTTGTTTTGTTTTTTGGGTTAGTATTTTCATTGTTGTTGTTGTTGTTGTTGTTGTTGATGGCATATCTACAATGGAAACTGGCCTAAGAGGATAAGTGCATCCACTGCTCCTTGTATGTGGTGGTACCCAAATTTTCTCCTCTTTTATATCACTGTCCAAAAGCCACAAGAAAGGTTGTTACTTGCTTGTTGTCCCCACCAGGCCATTACATAAGCGATAAACACCAGTTGACACAAAGTGCCACCATACGGATGAGGATCACCTGTGGAGAGGTTCCAGAAACCCCTTTCAGCCGTTTTGGCCACATTCGTGGCCCGGCAATATTCAGGACCCCCGGCAAAAGCCAGGGTTAGGCTTCAAATAATGAAAAACTGCATCACACATGAGGACAACTATAAATCATGGTTGTTACTCTTCAACTGGCAATAAATACTCTGCATCTCTAGCTTCGCTGCCAGCTGCAGGTTGAATGTGGTCATCTTTTTTTTTTTTTTTTCTAAGATGAAACTGTCTAATCCACAATGAAAAGTTGTGATGAAGACCACTTTTCTTCCAAAATAGTAATGATCAATGATTATGAGTACGAAGGTGGCTGATCAGAATGAAAAGTCAGATTAAAGTGATCAACGCAAAATGAAAATTGACTAACTTGAAAAGAAAATGGCAATTGACGAATACACAGAGGAAAGGAAGAATGCTAGACGATACTGACCACTCCATTCTGAACACTGAAGCCCAGCTGGTACTTTACATCTGGTCGTTTGATCAGCACCTCCACTACAGGTGGGCAGGGCACCACTGTCAGCTTGACCACAGTCTGAGACCTGGAGGCCTGGTCAAAAGAGAAAATCAGAAACTCAACTCACTCAGTCTCAATCAACTTACCATACATTTACTGGTCACTCCAGACAAGAAATGCCTTTATCATATACGTTGTTGTCCAGGCTGCTGTTATAATTACTAGTATTGTCCCACATTATTTAACCCTTTTAGTGTCTTACTGTGGCTGTTTTAACCTCCCTGGATCTAAACAACTATTACCTCAGGTAAAAAATACCTAGGAATCAATGAGTTAAGTGATACCTACCTGGAACTTATAAAAGTTAAACCAAAACTTGAAGCAAGACTAGTAAGACAAGTGATTGTAAAACACATGTATCAATAATGACTGTGTTGGTGTGGTTGCACTCATGATTGTAGAACACATATATCAATAATTCTGTGTTGGTGTGGTTGCACTCATGATTGTAGAACACATGTATCAATAATTCTGTGTTGGTGTGGTTGCGCTCATGATTGTAGAACAGATGTATCAATAATGATTTTGTTGGTGTGGTTTCACTCATATATGTTTGTGTGTGCTCTGAGTGCATGCTGTACACATATACACACACTCACCTGTGACATGTGTGTGTGTGTGTGTGTGTGTGTGTGTGTGTGCGTGCATGTGTGCGTGTGTGTGCGCGCACTCAGAGGTGTGTAGGTAGATGAATGCTACTGTATTCCACACACAAATAAATGAAATTAGAAAGGCGGATCACAAAGACAAAAAAAGAATTCCAGCCACTATACATCAGCACTGATCAGGTACATAACCCAACTCAAACAGAAACTATACATTTTTACTGGTCAGGTACATAACCTAACTCAAATATAAACTATACGTCTTCACTGATCAGGTACATAACCCAACTCAAACAGAAACTATACATTTTTACTGGTCAGGTACATAACCTAACTCAAATATAAACTATACGTCTTCACTGATCAGGTACATAACCCAACTCAAACAGAAACTATACATCTTTACTGGTCAGGTACATAACCTAACTCAAATATAAACTATACGTCTTCACTGATCAGGTACATAACCCAACTCAAACAGAAACTATACATCTTTACTGGTCAGGTACATAACCTAACTCAAATATAAACTATACGTCTTCACTGATCAAGTACATAACCCAACTCAAACAGAAACTATACGTCATCACTGGTCAGGTACATAACCTAAATCAAACAGAAACTATACGTCATCACTGGTCAGGTACATAACCTAAATCAAACAGAAACGATATGTCATCACTGGTCAGGTACATATCCCAAATCAAACAGAAACTATATGACATCACTGGTCAGGTACATATCCCAAATCAAACAGAAACTATATGTCATCACTGGTCAGGTACATAACCCAACTCAAATAGAAACAATACCTCATCACTGGCCAGTGTTATTTTCACTTGAACCAAACGTTTTTAAACAAAACTGGTTAAGTCTATTATTTAAACAAACCACGAACTATGAAACAAGTCTATTATCTAACCAAACTAGAAACAATAATGTCACTTGCCAAGTCTACAGTCCATATAAACAAAACATTGTCTTCACTAGCTAAGTTTATCAGTCCCCTGAACTGTTAAATCTCACAGAACTCAAATGCAGTCATTTGTAGGAACCATGAGTAATATATCTTATTTTTTTTTTCTTAAACTATATGCCAAATAACGAATGCATAACCACATAATGAAATGATGTTTTATCTTTTAATTTTTCTGCAGTCTTCTATGTATTCTTATGTCCACTTCTTTCTCCTGCCCCCCCCCCCCCCCCCCCCTTTTTCCCCTAAACGAGTGGTAACAAATTTGTGTAAATTTATTGTGTGACCCTGCTAAGTCCAGGTCCCCAATTTCAACTTGAATACTGTCATGACATTCTGCTTTCTAATATGCTTCCTTTGATGGTTAAATCATACATTCTGTCTAGCATTCTGCTCCAGCACTAAATTAATCGATTATACAGCTAAATACTATTCATTACCAACGCCTTCATTAAATCATCCATCATCATTAAGACGTCCCTATATCTCTGGCGAGTTAATTTCCTATTTCTGTCCGCCACTTACTGGCCGCAGGAATGAAATATCAATATTGGTGGCAGTGATGGCTGTCCCAGCCCCCATTTTTCCATTCATTATCCTAAGAGGGAAGACTCTTAAGTAGATGACTTGTCTTTATTTCCAGACAGATCTCTGACATTAATTCCCCAGCCAGAAAAGACAAGGCCACTCAACTCTAAATGAAACAGACATTCCGTTATTCAGATTACCAGGGGATTTTTCCCCAATGATAAAATCTGTACCTGTAATAACAAAAAAAACACAAGGCATAAAAGAAGAGCAGTGGTAAATGATTCAATTATGTGATTCTTTATTCCTGCAGTGACAAAGCCCCATTGATGTGGTGGATAAAAGGTGCCACCATTTAAATCCTGAAGAAAGAAAGAATGGCTGGGGAAAACCAAATGTGTATTGAACTGAATACCAAAGCCTGGTGATAGTTCTACTGCCTGCTTGCAGGTAGATTTTAGTTCATTTAAAATGTGATAATAGCTTAAAATGTGATAATAGCTGGGGAGGGAGAGAGGCAGCAGCAATTTCACAAAAATATCCTGCTCAGAGTGATAACTGGGACATAAAGTAATCGAATTCTCACATAGTGTAAATTCATTATTTTTTTCATCTTGTAACTGGATATAAAGTGATCGAGTTCTCAGAGTTTATATTCATTATTTTATACATCATGTAACTGGGATATAAAGTGATCATGGAGTTCTCACAGAGTATATATTCATTTTTTTTTTATATCATGTTATTATTTTTATAGGACAGTTATGTAATTTGTGTTGCTGTTTCACATATTGCTTTGTTTACACCTGTCTGGGTTGTGATTAAGACAGAAATTATACAATGAATTTTTAGATAATTTTACTGTCACTATGTCATTAAAATAGTTGATTATTACCCCCTTAGCAAGCCACACTAAAACGTTACAACGGGTATAGAGCAAGTTAAAGACCTCGGAAAAGATGGAGTGATGGCACTAGGCAGCCTTACAGAAATGAACATGAGTCTTAATAGTGGCTCTTGACAGAGCTCATCAACGAGCATTACATCTCCCCCTGACACTTCGATGAGTTACAAGGTGGAATAGAAGAAGAAGAAGAAGTATAGAAGCTGTTTAATGGAGAAAAAGAAGAAGAGCTATATAGAAAGCGGTTTAATGGGGGGGGGGGGGGGGGGGGGGGGGGGGGGGGGGGGGGGGGAATAAAGAAAATGTTGTCAGTCTGGCATCATGACATGGAAAGAACATCTGTGCTGAAAATGGTGACCAATGCAACACAATGGACTTTAAGTAAGTACATTCCATTGGCACATTGGGCATATGGTGCTGGGAGCACAATTTTCAGAACAACTGGTACTCAGAAGGGGGCACGGCCAACATCAAATCAGTTGTTTTTACCTTCCTCTGCCAATTTTTTTTTTCATTTTAAACTCTTCAAGTCCCTGTAACAAGTTATTTTAATTCGTTATTCCATAAGAGATTGTTCTTCTTCTTCATTACATCTTCTTTTACCGCTTCGGGTATCAAGAGAGATATAAGGTCCTGCTTCGTGCTTTTCTGTCTAATTCGACCAAAGACAAATCGTGGTACTGTAGAGTTTCTCTGATGTTATCCTTTCATATGTTCTTGGTCTACCTCTTGCTCTACGTCCCTCTCCTCTTATGGTACATGCCTCGAATTGTATAGCATCAAAAATCATTCCCTTCAAGTGTGCAAAACAGTGTTGCCACTTTGGATGTTTTACATCCAGATTTAGATGTTTTTCCATGCATTTAGATGGCATTTTTGACATTTATATTTTAGATGTTTTTCTAGATGTTTTCCATTTGGAGTGAATTTACCAAATCTAACCTAAGAAGAGAAGGCTGTTCCCCTTATCAACTCCCTGATTTGGGTATTAAAAGAAATTGAAACAGCCAAAGCATACCAGAGTCATTTTGGATCTGAAGCTTCAACTTCATCATCCAAGCTAAGTTTATTCTGTGGATCTTGTGAGGCAGACTTCAGGAAAGATGAGGACATGATTCTATAGGGTAAGTCATATCAATTGCTATGTAATTTGTGACTCTTTCCATTTGGATGTTTTCACTAGATGTTTTCCACGCAAATTTTGATGTTTTTAGATATTTTTGACTCCATTTTGGATGTGTGTTTTTTTTTAAAGAAAAGTGGCAACACTGATGCAAAACATTTGATTTGCTGTCTTTCTATGTAATTTAGAATTGGTTCTGCGCCGCCTATACCTCATATGACCTCATTCCTGATTTTACCTCTTCTGGTCACTCCTAAAGCCTTTCTCAGACACCTCATTTTCATGGTTACTAATTTTCTTTTATGTTTTAGATATTGTTACCTTAATAAATGCCAAGTCAGTTGTTACTCCAACTGCATCAGTTCTTTACTCCTTTCTGTCACATAGCATTTCTGCTTTAATTACTTCAGGTAGAAATATTTGTTTATTTTGATACTGTTACCTTAATAAATAAATATTTATACCCGAAGTAGAAATGCTATGTGAAAGAAAGGGTTGAAGAACCCATAGGTACAGATGCAGTTGGAGTAACAACTGACTGGGGCATAAAAGGTGGAGAAACTACATCTAGACTTTAGTTTTATTCCAGAACCTGAGTGCTGCGTGCCCTCAACAGCTAATTAACTGTATATACAGATATTGTCTGTATCTATATGTTAGCAATCATTTACCTTGATGTAGGTCTGACAGGCTGAAAGTGGTAGCCCTACCAGGCTAATGCCATTGATAGAGATGATCTGGTCACCAATGTTCAGCTGACCGCAGCGAGCAGCTGGGCCACTGGGCAGCATGTTTGCCAAGACCACTGTTGGAACCATGGAGCCCCAGCCAGACTCCACAATGACAATACTGAGAGGCTCATTCTTGGACTTCGGCACAATCACCTGGCAATCACAGCAATATATCTGAGTACACAACATATCTGACTCACAATAACACAACTCAAAACAATCCTAAAAATGACACAGTAGTCACAAACATGCATACACATGAACAAACATGGCAAAATGGTCAAACCGTTGGCTTTGCCTGTGAAGGCTGTGGGTTCACTTTACAGCTATGACAATCAGTTCATGAGTGCAGTTTCACAGACATCCCTGAGGACTGTCCAATAAGCTATGAGTTTAAGCTTTGTGTGATGCTTGTGGCAGGTGGCTGGCTGTTTTGCAGAAACAGACCAAGTCATATGGGATAAAACCTGGTGCAAAGAAGCAGACCCTCTCACCTTTCACTTCTAACTTTTTATCACATAAGAAAATTATGTGATTTTTTTTTTCCCCCACACTTCTGGTACATATGGTACTAGACTCATATTTGACATGACTCCTTCTTCATGACTCACCATTGTGAGGTAAGTTCGGTGATCACAGTCATAATTTAAAACATCTTCATTGAAATAGGACAAAATGAATTATGTTTTGACATTTCAAGCTTTCACATTAGACTTCTTCAATTTTTTTAGAGTTTTTCAAACTGTTATTTTGTTTTTGTATTTTCACCACTTTTGATTGATATGGACTTGAGGGGTGATGACTTAGTGCAATCTCTCCTTAGATCAGCTTTGCATTCATGTCCTGATTATAACTTGAAGTGGAGGCCTCCTTTTTCTTCCTCTTTTCTCATTAAATTTACCAGCTGTTAAAACTATTTTTTCTCACAGCATTTCCTAAACTCATGGCCACAGGCCTAATTTCTCAATCCATTGACAGTTTTCATCTGTTTCTGGAAGGGCTGTCTCAGTTGTCTTTCTTTCCATCAGTGATCACCATCTTCCTGTCCTGTTCATATAGGGCTCCCAGTCTAGTACAGAGATTCTCAAACTGTGTGCATTGGCGCCCCGGGGAGCCTCGACCTCTTCACAGGTGCGCCACAAAATCTCTTACATACAAATAGTAATACTTGTACTTAGATATAGGGCACCATTGAAAATTTATACTTGAAACCAGGCGCTGCGATTGAGAAAAGTTTGGGAAACTCTGGTCTAGTACACCATTCTATTTAATCATACAGCATACAGAATGCAGCAATGCGGGTCAAACTGGGTTGCACCAGAGACACCCCAGTGGTGTGTATGTGATTCATCCTTGGTTTGCCAACTGTTGCAGGTAGGCACAAGATGATGCAGGTGAAGTCATATCTTAAGGTAGCTGCAGACACAAACACCCTTTGCACAAAGCTCTGGATGCAGTTAAGGGTCAGCAGCTGATAAGAGGGAAGTCATGGATGGCTCAGGCAGAAGACACAATCAGACAGGTTTGCATCCTTGAGAACATTAGGCGAGGAGAGTAGTGGGTCAAAGTGCCACCTGAACAGTCAGGCTTGTGTAAGGTCATAATCACACTGATCCGGGAATGCAGAGACTGGCCAGCAGGTGCTACAAAGGTGGAAATTCAGCAATTAATTCAAGATAATGCTCGCTAAGAAGATTTGATCATTTACACGGACGGTTCAGTGTCAAGAGGCAAAAGAAGTGCTTGGGCTTTCTTAGCAAAAGTTTCTGGTCGACGTTTGGTGCAGGAGAGCCTGGCATATGATACCACAACATCCAACTTAAGAATGGAGTTGGCGGCGGTCACTGTGGCTTTTCGCTGGCTAGAGAACACGACAGAGTGGCATGCTTCGCTGCGGAAGACACGGGTGAGGAGTATTTCTGGATTTTTTCACCAGGGTATGCCGGTATGTTGGGAAATGAACAGGAGGACGGACTGGCTGGCGCTGCACAGCTTGGTGGAATACTGATGCATGATAAGGCAGACGTAGTTAGTGCCTTGTGGGAGAGCTTGTACAGTTCGGGGGAGCGGATGGATCACCACAGTGAGACTGATGCAGTTAAGAGTGACGAGAGATTCTGGCAGATGCTCGAGGCTCAGAGAAAAGACAAGATGGACGTTTAATCAGAATGCTACTGGCACCATTAGTATCAAAACTCTTCGCTAGCTGCTGAAGATAGGGTCGGAGCACTTATGGGAATACTCCGAGTGCTGTGATGTCGGTTCTTGAACCAAATCAAATCAATTCCTCCATTCTGTTTTATCATGTGAAGTCCCTTATTCCTTCATTCTGTTTTATCGTGTGAAGTCCCTTATTCCTATATTCTATCATGTGAAGTCCTTCAATCCTCTGTTCTGTTTTATCATGTGAAGTCCTTCAATCTTCCGTTCTGTTTTATCATGTGAAGTCCCTTATTCCTCCATTCTGCTTTATCATGTGAAGTCCCTTATTCCTCCGTTCTGTTTTATCATGTGAAGTCCTTCAATCCTCTGTTCTGTTTTATCATGTGAAGTCCTTCAATCCTCTGTTCTGTTTTATCATGTGAAGTCCTTCAATCTTCCATTCTGTTTTATCATGGGAAGTCCTTCAATCTTCCATTCTGTTTTATCATGGGAAGTCCTTCAATCCTCTGTTCTGTTTTATCATGTGAAGTCCTTCAATCTTCCATTCTGTTTTATTATGTGAAGTCCTTCAATCCTCCACTCTGTTTTATCATTTAAGTCCTTCAATCCTCAAGTCTGTTTTTTATGTGAGGTCCTTCAATTCGCCACTCAGTTTTATCATTTAAGTCTTTCAACTCGTCATTCAGATTTATCTTTTGCAGTCCTTCAATCTTCCCATGTGAAGTCCTTCAATATCATGGATGGAATCTGGTCCAGCTCCTTTGGCCTCTCTCCAACACCATCTGTCTTTGGATTTCTCTTGGATGCCAATTGTATTACATCCATTTTCCTCATACTCCAACCACACTCCCAAAGCCAATAGATGTTTTCCAGCATGTCTGCTTATTGTCTATGCTTGACATGCACACTTCTTATATATTTGCCCGTAAAAGAACAGCTGGCATATTGTGTTGCAGTTTACAGCTAGGCTATACAATCTGTGGCTTTCTGTCCACATATCTTATTTCAGAAAACCTTCAATTAGTCACATGTGAGGGGCAGTGGATATAATCTCAGAAAGGCAGGCAGGCTGTTATACACAGAAAAAGGTAAACACAGACACTGACCAACAGACAGACGAAAAGGCCAACTGGTAGACAGACAGACAGTAACAGGCAAATAAAAAAAGAGCGGCAGTTGTCGTACACAGAAAAAGGTCAAAACAGATATACAGACAGACTGACCAACAGACAGACAGGCCAACCGACAGACAGACAGAGATAGACTGATAAAGAAAGAGGGCAGGCATTTCATACACAGAAAAGGTTAGATAAACACAAATTCCTAACACAAATCAAGAACCAGGACATCGGTGCAATACTAACCTCTTTGTGAAAGTCTTTGTTGGCAAACAGATTCAGCTCCTCTCCGTATATCTCCTGCTGATTAAGAACATCCTGGTAGTCCATCTCCTTAAGGAGGCCTGGGTCTTCGATGCCATTGGCTTTGAGAAACTCCAGGTATGCCACCTGGAACGCCTGACCAATAGACTGGGCAATAAGCTGAGCCTGTTGAATAGACAGATATGGACACTTCAATCATGGACCTGTAAATCATGGACACATAAAGAAATGTACATATCAAAACAAAACACACACAAAAGTAAAGACAGTAACATAACAAATAGCGCCAGGTCTTTTATCTGGCGAGTGTGCAGCACCAGCACATTTGTTTATGTATCATTTTTGTCAGCGCTGTTTAACAGATATGTTCTCATAGGTATCAACACCTTTTTTAAAGACACCTTGTAGTGAGTTCCGGGCACTGCCATTGTCCTTGTGGGGGTTCCAGGACCCCATGGGAGGGAGGGGGGGGGGGGGGAGAAGAAGGAACAGATCCACTGACCTCAAACTAGCCTGCTGTAACAAGCAGCTAATAAAAAAGTTGCTGAAATCAGATGTTTCAGTTTGACAAGCGCAGATATCACAGCCTAACTGTAAACTACAAAACAGCTTGCCAACAGAGCTTTAAAGGTGAATAAAAACGAAGGAGGATGGGGAAAAAGCGGAGACGAAAAAGAAGACGAAGATGAAGAAAAAGATATTACCACTGAAGTGTGAAATAAGCTTTCACATATTCTAGACCATGACATATGCAGTGGTGTGGTCAGTTTCATTCCTCCCTGCCTTTAATTCACTCAAAAATCACACGATATTCTAGAAATTGTCTGGTAAATATTGTCAAATACATAAAAGGATGCATACTGTGTGGTCTTCTTGTTCTTCTGCATTGAAGGAGAACTGGGGTGGGGGGAGGGCTTGTATAAAGAATAACCTGTTAGATATGGGTAGACTTCAATGAGAGACGGACTGGAAGTAGCCCAGAAAGATGCAGAGAATGTCTTTAATGTGGAGATGCTGCATGATGGACTTTTTATATGCTTCGGTGTTTACCCTTATAAGGGCAGCTGGCATGCCGCGTTGCGGTTTACAGCTAGGCCTTTCAGCCCAAGACTTTCGCTTTCAGAAAACCCTAATTAGTTGCCTTTTATGACATGCTTTTCGTGCGACAGTGGGTCTTCGCGTCCACCCGTCCACCCCCCACCCAGGATTTCCGGAACCCCTGGAAAGGGGGAAGGGTGGAGCTCACGGACTCCGGAATGCACACGGATAGAAAATTTGAAAACAAAATATATATATACTGAAGTAACAATTGAGATCGAATACTACGACTGCAGCTGGAAAGGGCACAAGCGGTTGGAAAAAGAAAAAGTAAGCTTAATAAACGCATGGCGAGGTGGCTGGTACTGAATGAGTTAATGAAATGGCATTCACACTGTACTGTCGCAGACGTCAATCTTCTACAATAAAATAACACTGAACCGCAAGATGGTGGAAAACAACAGGCAAATACAGCACAGGCTTAAGCATCTGTACTTGGCAAATACAGCATTGGCTTATGCATCTGTACTTGGCAAATACAGCACTGGCTTTTACATCTGTTCACTGGCACAAGATACTAACACAAGTCAGCGAGACACAATACATAAAACAGTAGGTAAATACAACAAGTCAGCGAGATACAATTTATAAAACAATAGGTAAATACAACACTGGCACAAGATGCTAACACAAGTCAGCGAGATACAATACGTCAAACAGTAGGAGAATACAACACTGGCACAAGATACTAACACAAGTCAGCGAGATACAATACGTCAAACAGCAGGTAAATACAGCACTGGCACAAGATACTAACACAAGTCAGCGAGACATAATACATAAAACAGTAGGTAAATACAGAACTGGCACAAGATACTAACACAAGTCAGCGAGAAACAATACGTCAAACAGCAGGTAAATACAGCACTGGCACAAGATAAGTCAGCGAGATACAATTTATAAAACAATAGGTAAATACAGCACTGGCACAAGATGCTAACACAAGTCAGCGAGATACAATACGTCAAACAGTAGGAGAATACAACACTGGCACAAGATACTAACACAAGTCAGCGAGATACAATACGTCAAACAGTAGGTAAATACAGCACTGGCACAAGATAAGTCAGCGAGATACAATTTATAAAACAATAGGTAAATACAGCACTGGCACAAGATGCTAACACAAGTCAGCGAGATACAATACGTCAAACAGTAGGTAAATACAGAACTGGCACAAGATGCTAACACAAGTCAGCGAGATACAATACGTCAAACAGTAGGAGAATACAACACTGGCACAAGATACTAACACAAGTCAGCGAGATACAATACATAAAATAGTAGGCAAATACAGCACTGGCACAAGATGCTAACACAAGTCAGCGAGATACAATTTATAAAACAATAGGTAAATACAGCACTGGCACAAGATGCTAACACAAGTCAGCGAGATACAATACGTCAAACAGTAGGAGAATACAACACTGGCACAAGATGCTAACACAAGTCAGCGAGACATAATACATAAAAAAGTAGGCAAATACAGCACAGGCACAAGATGCTAACATTGGACAGCGAGAAACAATACGTAAAACAGCAGGCAAAAACAGCACTGGCACAGGACACTGTCACTAGACAGCAAAGACAAAATATGTAAGACAGTAGGCAAAAACAGATCTGGCACAAGACACAAACGATGGACAGCAAGACAAAATAGGCGAGACAGTAGGCAAATACATATTTGGCACAAGACACAAACGATGGACAGCAAGACAAAATAGGCTAGACAGTAGGCAAATACAGATCTCTGGCACAAGACACAAACACTGGACAGCAAGACAAAATAGGCGAGACAGAAGGCAAATACAGATCTGGCACAAGACAGTGGACAAATACAGCACTAGCGTAAAGGTCAGCACAACACACAAGCACTGGGCAGCGAGACAATGCTAGCATGACCGACTAATCCCCCCGTTACAAACCACGCATTCTTCCACATCTGCCACGACCTTTTTATCAGCCTAAGCGACACAATAAAACTGTCCCCTGTGTGGACGACAAGCTTTCATGTGGCGCTCTTTCTTATACACATCACGGCTGAAAGGGAAGATGATGAGACTGGACGCAACAACAAAAAGCCATGACAAAAACCGTTTTCCGTGACGTGATTCCGAAGCCATCAACATACGTAGCTCTTCCGAATAGCCTATACTTTCGAGGACGCCTTCAATCACTTTCTATTTTCTGTTTAGCGATAATCGACACACGCACACACGCACGCATGCACACATGCATACAATGGTGTATATATAAATACATATACATAATTATACATATACAAATATGATTTAGTTTTTCTAATTTAATAAAACTGTTAAGGAAGGATAGGCGGCGAGAAGGGGAACTGACCATCCCTCTTCAGATTCTGCGACCAACAACAACAACAAAAACAAAATCTGACTAATTAACTTCAGTATCTGCTATAAGGCTACCTTTATTTTAAATCTATCCCAACATTGACAGACTGCAACTTGGAGGCTTACAAACAGCCAGTAACTAAAAAGGAAAGTTGGAAGAGAATCCAGGCCTAAGCAAACCGATAGGGAAGATGCTGGAGAGTTTGACATCATGGCATGGGAGTTCATTTGTGTCAGAAGGTTGTTGATAGACATGACTAGCAACCCCATGCGGCATGGGCGACGCCGCTTTTCAAATGTGAGTAATATAAGAACAAATCCCAATTATTCCGTTCCACCACACAAAACGTCAGTGACAAAAGGCAGCAGATCAAATGGTACGCCCACTTAGATTGCCTTGTGATGCCATACCATAAAGTATTAGGCATATTGGGCTAGACCTACATTTTATAAACCAATCGGGACTTGGTGGGTGATGTGGTCAGCATCACGCCGGCCGCCTTTAGTTTCTAGAACTGCATCTGGTACAAACTCAAAGCTATCACCCTGGCAGTCCAGGTCATTTTTGAACACATGGCTTCCAATCCGATCCGCAGGCGACAGTCTAGCCGCTACACCACGGCGACCTTTCATACTATAAAGGCAACAACAATAACAAAAAGGAGAAGGACATAGAGCACAAGTTACACCAAGAATAAGATGAGAAACTAACATAGAAGACATTCTTCTAGAACAACAAGATGTGTTTATGGTCGAGGTGGGGAGAAGAGCATGAAGCAGGACTTTATATCTCCAGCAAGAAACAGGACCTTATATCTCCCTCGACACCCCAAAGCGGTAAAAGAAGAAGTTACTATTCTTTACTTTCTTTATAGACAGCGGTAACACATCGATTAGTGACGACAAAAGAAGTGAATCGGCAAAGACAGCATAAATGAATTTATTGAACACCACAGTCTGTGGATTGGAAACAGCGAAGGGAAAAGGAGAAAAACACACCGGAGCCATCGGACAGGTATTTTCTTTCAGTTCACCCCACATCGAGGACTGAGATTTCGTTGGTAGTTGCCGGGAAAGTGAGATATTATAGTGGGGTTAGGGTTAGTCTGTGCTCATTTCACACACCAACACCATTATACTAATAGACTTTCCCGGGAACTCCCCAAGAAATTTCAGAACCCCCCCCCCCCCCCCCCCCCCCCCCCCCCCCCCCCCCCCTCTTTTTTTTCCTCCTTTTTTTCCGCAATTGGGTGAAATTTTTTTTTTATGAAAGAAAAAAAAAACATCAGACGTTTGAACTGAAGCCTTCGTCGATGATAGGCACAACAACGTCGTTAACAATTCGTTCAATATGCACACTACCTGTTTATCCTTAGCTCCGAATATATACTGTTCTCGCCAATCTCTTCTCCATCGTGGCACTATGAACAGGAGCGTGTCACTGACAGGTGAGAGTAATTAATTTAGTGGCATATATCTCAGGGAGGGTTCACGTGCAGTATTTAGTATATATTTGGCCACGGCAATTAAGAGGCTAGATCTTGCTTTTTTCCAAGCTGAGTTTCATTCAGTCAGTCAAGCACAGCCTCGACAACGGAGTTTCGTGCAGTAGATCTAATACACTTTATGTCTCTAGTCTTGTGTTTTACATGCCCCCCCCCCCTCCCACCCTTTCCCCCCTACCCCAAGAGTAAACGCTCTTGACGT